CACCAACTCATCCCCTCTCCCAGCAACCAAATACGATCCCCCCAAAGTACGACCCCCTATGCGTTTCACGCAACGATGCTGTACCCTGTTTCCAGCTACTTCAGTCCTATCAACAAAGTATTGATAACACCTCACATTAACACTCGCTTCGTAATCCAAAGAAACTGTTATCGAGACCGTTTTTGATGATGAAATAACAGAATTAGATCACAAACGGACTACCAGAGTACATATGGTCACTGTGAAACGGATAAAACCGCGAAAAGTCAACAAACAAGAAATTTTGCCAACGCGGCTAATTTCTCTCGAAGGCACTCTCCCAACAACCACTAAATACTACCCGCTCCCAGCGGCCAAGAGTGACCACCCCATGTGTTTCACACAACGATGCTGTACCCGGCGCGCTACACCGCCCACAGAAGAATCCCTTTCTTACCGGGCTAGCGCCAAATAAATAAAGTCAAGAGGCAATGCTTTCCGAACTGGGCAAATATTTCATGGGAAACGATGCAAAAAATCAATAAAAAACAGTGAGAAGTCAAAAAAATAAATAAAGAAGTAGCAAAGCAAATTAAAAAAATAGAAAATAAAACATGAGAAGGTCAATCGTCACCTTTGGAACAACGGTTGCGAAAACGGAACGGTACTGTGCGACTTTTCAGAGACACTTTGATAAAATGGCTGCGTAGGGTAGGGGTGACTGGTGCCAGCTTCAGGCGGATGAGAACTTCCAGAGTAGTCTAAAGAAAGGGGTAAAAGCTTTCAATGAGCAAAAAATAACACGCAAAATTTGTGGCTCACCTTGTGCCGGTTGCTCTTTGGGATACTGATAGTTGGAATAGTCTGTCGAGTATTCGTGGGAATACGACGAATAATCGACCGGAGCTTGACTTTCAGCTGTCGTAGCGGTGTTACCGTATTCTACTTGACCGTAACCGTATCCAGCTGCACTTGCTGCTGCGCTACTGCTACCGTAACTAGTGCTACTATAATCGTACGCAGCTGCACCAGCCGCTGCCAGGTTAGCATTATCGTAGCCAGGTTGGTCGTATCCAGGCTGATCGTAGCCGTATCCAGTGCTTACATCGGTCGTCGTGGCACTGGTGTCATAGTCGTTGTTGGATTGATCCCCGATGGGCGGTTCACTGTACTCTACAGGGTTCTGGTTATATCCTGCATGGTAGTAGGAGCCATCCGCGTAGCCGTTCCCTTGAACATCTGGGTACTGCTGGTCATAGGTGGTCGCCGTGGTGTCATACCCCGTATGGGAGCCTGCCTGGTCATATCCTGCATGGGAACCTGCCTGGTCATACGCATAATGTTGGTCGTATCCACTGTAACCACTAGCTCCTTGAACATAAGCGCTGGGGTCACTTGGGTAGGCAGAACTCGTGTAGGTGTCGTTCTGATCGTAGGCGTAGGTCTGGCCATAGGTCTGATCATAACCACCTTCTGGATAGGTGTAGCCATCGCCTTGGACAGTTGTACTGCAAAGAGAGACCGAAAATGACTCTTGCCGTGTAGAGGGCCAGACAAAGGGCACTCACCTGTATCCGTCGTACTGATAGGCGTACTCTGATGATTGGTGTTGGCTGGGGTCGTAATTCGGGTCCACGTCCCATTGCTGCGTCTCATAATTCCAAATGTAACCTGAAACACTGGCTGTGTTGACATATTCCCATTTCACATCCATTTCATTCCCCATCCATTCGTGACATTTGATTTCGCTATTGATTTTCCACCCATCCAACCCGTCAGACCTTTAGGGCACGGGAGGTAAGCTGCTATGGAAGCAAATAATTCATAACCTCTTCTGGACCGACGGCAAGGCAAGATCACGTGTGGGTGGTCTTTACTCTAATTAGTCTGAGTAGTAGCCCAAGGAAATTACCTGAAGTGGAGCGAGGCACTTGGGCAGACGACGACGTGGGGCGCAACTTAAATTTCGGAAAGCTCTCTAGCTGTCAAAAATAAGAAAATATTTGGAGAGAAGCCTTAGAGATCATTAGAAGTTGACTGAGAAAGGGGGGAGTTAGTGAACTAGGAGTTAGCCCACCTCCTACGACTCGCCTGTCCTCCCGTCTACCGCTTTGTGGACAGTAAATGCGGTACCACAAGTTCGATACTGGGGAATAGAAACACGCATTAGCTGCACATTGGCCTGATCCTCCTCCGTCCCTCCCTCCCTCCCTCCCTGCCTCACTCCCTCCCTCCCTCTCGGTCTCTCTCTCTCTCATCTCTCCAACTCCTCTCGATCCGTCTCGTCTCTTCTCTCTCTCATCCTGGCGTGTGTGGTGCAGTCTCGACCCCCGTCTTCGAACGGGCTCACTGCCCGAGACCACTCCTACGTCGCATTCAAAAGCCACGGCACTGAATGGAACGTGCCGCATCCCGAAAAGGCATTGATCAGTAGCAAAGGACTTTCTCATCTTTGTTGGGAAAGTTCTACTAAGGTGGGCATTTCTCGGTCCGAAGCCTCCATTGCATTCATAACACGACATTAAGCGCCTGTGAGGAGTATGCTCAGTCCTAGGGACAAGGAGGTTCTGAGGTGGGTGAACCAAGTCATTTGCGGAGAAGAGGTCTCCTGAACTACTTCCTTAGCATGCTGGACTAGTGCCTACAGGCGCAGATCGGCTTGGTGGGGGCACCAAATCTAAGGATTATCAGCTAAGCTTGTACAGGTCACCTTGTGAATAGCTGTAAACTCCTGTGAACACTGTGGCTCGGTTGTACCACTTCGCAGCTTCCCAGGAGTTCATCGGTCTCACTTCGGGAGAACAAACACATGGACTGACAAAACAGACTAGCAATAGTGCAAAATGCCCCCTCAGCGCCAAAAAGCTTCGGGCCCAAACACCTTTAAAAGTACCTGGATAAGCGTTCAGATCGTAGGCTGCCTCATGGTTTTCCACCTCTGATGCTTCAGCGGCGGGTTGCTGTGCTTCCTGTACTGCCGCAGCGGCGGGTTGCTGTGCTTCCTGTACTGCCGCTGTGTCACCTAAAAGTGTAAGTTTAAGAGTACTGTCCACACGTATAACCTCTATATTTCTCAAGAAATAGGTAAAAGTGGTAAAAGTGACGTCATTTCATGGCGAAAGAGGCTGCAAAAGCGTGCCCTTACAAATAGCAAATTGAAAAGAAACTTGAGTGGTTTAAGATCTACATGATGCAGAAAGAGTATGGGTTGATTCCCGGGGAAAACAGAAGGGAAGGGAAATGAAGAAAAGAGGAGAAAAAGAAGAAGAAAAATTTGCAAGACGAGAGGTTTCTATTAGGCTGACCCGGAGTTCCAACGAGGGTACGTTGGAGATACGCAGCGAGGGGGTTGTAGGCGGTCGCTGAAGAGAGGGGTAGGCGCATTTGTATGAGAAAAAATCGACTGAATATTTCTGTTAGACAGCAATAGGAAAAAAATTCGGAAAACAAGAAGAAGTGGTAGGAACGAGAGAGGATTTAGGCAGTCGCGCAGCAAATTGCCGGGAAGAAACTCAAATACGAACGTTGCCAAGTATCTGATTAGCGGAGAAAAGCAGGCAGAAGAAGCCAGTCCGAAGCTCTTATAGAGAGTCAGTGGCCAACTATGCTAGCAGCCGCGTGTGGGGTCGGGCATGGGCTAATGGGTGTTCTACTGCGGGCCTAATTAGTCAGCTTTTAGCGGAGTTCTTGCCGTTTTTCACATTTTGAAAGTAGCGCAGCCTCAAAAATCGCCTTCCGGATCGTCCGACACATTTGAGAGGTCATAGCCTTATTTTATCGCGGAATGTGCCTTTAAGCGCAGCTATGGTATATACATGTACAGGCGGGGGGCCAAAAAAAAAAGTCATTCCGGCCGAGTCACATATGAGCGAAGTTTTCGCAGCCCAGACAGAGGAAGTGGATGAGTACCAGGGCGGAAGATACCCAAGATCTTCCTCTATAAGCAGGAGCCGGCTGCCGCCATTCACCTTCATGTACACCAAAATATGAAGTCATCTCCAGTCGCGGCCTGAGTGGAGAACGCCTTTGGAATTCACGTGGCCTCCAAACAGCTGCGGAACTTCTTGAATGGAATCACCCATGGATAGCTACCTGGAGACCAGTACTCTTGATCTGCAAGACCTCAAACATCGAGCAGCTCCGGCAACGTCGCTACGGTCCAGGACATCATCTTCACCCCATTCACCAAGGCGCGGGCCTCTTCGCAGTTGATGGTGTGGACCGGCCGTACCTGGAATGGATGAACCGATATTTTCTTTGTAGACCCCGACTGAAGGTGAGCGCTGGCGGTTACATCAAGTAACTCGGAGCAAGCGGATATTCCTCCCTACATGTGGTCGCCCGTACCTTCTTGGAGACCTTGTGCTGCTACAGGTTTGGGTGCCACCACATGGAATCGAAGGGTTTTGGAAAAACTCCCGCCTACTTCGAATGGAAGGGCGTTTCGTACCTGATGAAGATGTAATATTGAAATATGTCCCCTGACCTGAACCCACTCAATTACCTAGTTCGGGCGGAGCTCAACAGGGTGGTCTACAGTGGCGGAGAAATCAACGATCTCGCTCAACTCCGGTACCCACTCACTTTCGCGCGGCCGAATCTCTCGATGGCGCTCCTCCAGAAGGCTGTGGCGGAGTATCGTTATAGTATTTAATGTGCTCTTTAATATGGTAGTAAAAATGTCCGATAAAAATTTAATAAAGTGTAACTTATAGCGCCTTGAAAGTCATGGAGGAAAAATGACTTTTTTTTGGCCCCCCTGTATACGTGTCCTTGGTCTCGGTCCAAGTACGTTCTGTCCGAAAAGTTTTCGTCCCTGTTCCTGCCTCCATCATTTCCTAGCGGAACGCTTTGAAACATGCCATTTTTCTGTGAAAATTTGAGGCAAGAATGTTTGAGAATTGAGTTCGCGGTCGTTATATGGGCGAAACCGAGACTACTGTTGCGTTTCTCTCTTTGTTGTGCCCCTTCTCTCCACAATTTCAAGATAATCAGTGGATATGTGCATTGCTTAATAATAAAATTTGGGGGTGGTTCGTTTCGTCTGGACTCAGACGAACCACTTTATTCCATCAATCCCGAGACCGAAACGAGGAGAGGGGGGGGGGCTAATGAGGAATGCATAGTAATGGGCCCCCACTCTGCACGGTGAGGGCGGACCGTAGCATAAACAAAAGTCAGAAGCTCAACTGGAAGGAAAGTTTCGCAGCATGAAAAAGGAATATTCCGTCGTTGATTCTTTCCTCAGAACTGACTTATGGCTGACCCTTGCCTTTTCTTTTAGGAAAAAGGAAGGGCACAGTGAGTCAGTTGTGCAGAAAATCGGCGCTTAAGGTTTTATCAAGGTAAATCCAAGGCGAGAGCACTTACTTGACGTGGAATCCTTGGGTGGTGCAGGAGTGACGTCATTTTGGGTAGTGCCAGTTTCGAGCTCCGATTCGGGCTCGGCCGTGGATGGTTGTCCATTGGGGACTTGGTGCTGATTGGCCTCGGTCTCATCTTCAGCTGAAGATTTTCCAGCCAGGAATCGTTTTCGTTCCTCAGACATGTCCTCAGAAAACATCGGTTCGTCCTCTTCCGAAGGCTATAATATACGAGGTAAAATTAGCCGTCGGCATAAACAATTACAGAGGAAAAAACGATGCAATTATAGGCCGGAAAGGGGTGCAAAACATGCATAAGCATGGAGAAAGCTGTGAAAACAAAGGCTCTCAGACCAATAGACATAGAGAGCGATCAATGAGGGGTCAGTCATACAGCAATAACTCAAATAAGCTTGCGAGAGGGAGAACGCTGGCTGAGGGCATTCGGATAATGGCAGCGAGACTAATGTGCCCATAGTCCTTAGGGAGCCGTAAAAGGCGCGAGGAACATGGAAATCATACTATGGACCCCTATTGACTCCGCCTATTCGTCCCTCTTCAATGTCCGAATATCCCGAAGAAATGGACCTATGGCTATGAAGCTAAGCCCTGAGTATGACGCAACTGAAGAGGTTGTGAAGAATCGCGCGCCGGCAAGCGTGAGAGAAAGGCTTAGTTTGGGGGATACACTCCCTGACTAGCAGAAATCAATAGTAACACGTGAAGGAAATAATTTGCATCGTGCCAGCATAGCCGATTTATCATTGCTGCTCGGCTGGCGAACAAGTCTCAGACTGAACGGCTGCATCCAATTAGGTGAGCAGCACCGTGCAGAACTGCTATGGAAGCACTCACCTGCGGCTCCACTTTCACTTCACTCACTTTGGGCTTCTGAAAAAGAAGGGATTATGTAGATGTGAGCGTTGAATTCCCACGGATTACCCACCTTCGCCGTTACGGACTCTTCAGCAGACGCAACGGGCTCCATGGGAACTGGCCCGTCAGAAGAAGCTGAAAAGCGGACTTTTGGTTAAGAAGCTGAAGCTGTGGGATCAGCTCGGTGAAATATGACCGTTATAGAAGAGTGAATGAGAAGCTTTGTAATTCCCGTGAAAGAGCGCTAAATTTGGCCTACTCATTCTTAAGGAACCGATTTATTAGTGTTTCAGTAAGCATTTCCGGAATGTCCAAAGAATGCTGAGTCATGGACAAAAGTCAGACCTCAGGCGAGACTGAAACCCGCACAGCGCGCTTACCAGGCGAGTGCGCTACCCATTGGGCTAAAATAAAATTATAATGAGTAACATCATAATAAGAGATTCAGACAGGATATAACTACGCTTGCCCAGTCAAACGAAAAAAAATTTTTCTCAACGTCTTAGGCATAGGAACTCAAAGCGGGGCTCACCATCCGTTCGTGAAACACGAGAGCGGCGGTTGCATTTGGTCGATCAAGAAGGGGGGGGGGTCGTATTCTGACGAGAGACAAATTTTCTAACTGTTCATGGAAGATGAGTTTTCTAGTAGCTCATTTTCCCGTTTCACACGCCTTAAACTCCCTACCCGGCTGGGAAAATAGGATGTGAGAAACGTTGAAACGAAAGTTCGCACCCAACACTACGTGATATCTCGGTTAGTGAATCGGAGGAGTCCACCCTCTTCCCCTTGCCTATTCGATTTGGGGGTCGTTCCGGAGGAAGTAATCCGGGGAGGGATCGTGTTTTGCAAAAAGTTTCCAGAACATAATGATGTGCCCTAATTCAAAGGCAAAGAGCTCAGATTAATTTTGTCAGCAGTAAGACCCCTTTTCCCCAGAGTCCTTAGTACGGCTCCCAACACAACCTGATTCTACCATCGATGCACCAGGTCCCCCAAACTTCCAACGAAATGAGGGGAAAGAGAGATTCATCTTGTGCACTGCAGATCCACCCCCAGTCAGCCAAATATGACGCTCACCGTCTCCCTGGTGACTAATAAGGACGCCTTCTCCCATGACTGCCTAATGACGAATTCCCCTAAAACTGCCCTATATGCTGGAATATTGAAGTCTTCTTCATCAGTAATCAAAACTAGTAAGTAAGATGTATTGATTCTGAATTAATCAATGTTTTTGACTATTCAAGATTGGGCATTGATTCTTCATGGAATTTCCCAGTGGATTCTCAGAACTATATGATGACGTCATATCGATGAGCAAATTGTGTGAGAAAATGGAAAACGGAAAAGACGGGGAACGTGGAGGAAGCAAAAAAGAAGAAAGAAGACTTGTGATCAGAGCGCAACGTACGTCAGGAAACCCCAGCTACGGGCGTATCTGAATGTTGCAACCCCTCCCCGCCCCTCCCACGCTCGACGGTAGTATGTAGTTCTTCAGGGAGAAAAGGAGATGTTATCGAGAAGTCTAGGAAAGGGGTAGGAAGTTGGGAAGATTTAGGAAGACGGTAGTTAGGTGTATGGAGGATGGAGAAGGGGTGTCATACCAGGACAAGAATTTTCAAAGGAGGGGTTGTTTTCTGCAAAAATCCTCCGTCGCAGGACAAAAAGACAAGAGTTCTCGAAAAAGCTCCAAAAAAATTTTTGAAAGGAGCAATACAAGCACATTGACGAAGAACAAGAAATGTTAAATGATGAGGGTCATTCCTTGAAATGAGAGCTAAGCTCTAATGAAAATGGGTGGGGTGCTTTTGAAAGATTGCCTCTGGATTTACCATCGCCCGAGTGGAACCAGAGTGGTTTCCAGATCGCCGTTGGTCAACCCCTTTGTGGGATGCGACACGCATTCTAAGTCCACTCAGAATCGTAGTGGCTTATTGAATGCGATGCGCCTACCTCATACAACGCCTTGCTGGGTCCAGCCGATACACAAGTCAGCGTTATGGTCCTCCCAGACGAATCTGCAACGGATTGATCGTTCCCGTAGGGTAGAAGGCTTGGTGGGCCTGGGCGGGGCAGGTCTAGGAACTGAACCCGCGCGTGCTAAGTGGGCCATTTGCCACTACACCACTTCCGCCTCATCGCAACGAGTTCACACTTTGAAACTAGTTCAACCAGCCCGCAGCTCGCTCTCCTTTTGGGCCTAGGCAAAGGTCCCCGCCCTATTAAGTACTAACTCTAGCTCTAGCTAACTCCAGCTTTGCGAATCGAGTATTTCAAATCCTACAAGGTTTTGAAAACACAAAGTTCTTCCCGGAAAGGGTTCCCATGTCCATCTCCAGGATGTTTCTATCTGTCGCTTCGCCTGAACGGTACAATCTGAGGCACAAACAGGGAGTTTATTCCACCTTATAGAAACGTACTATGGTTGCCGACGTCGCACTAGGAACTCGAAGCAGGTTCAGACCAGAAACCTGTCAGGGCTTTTTTATATACAACACTTAGACGTGAGGGGTAAGGAGCTTTGCATGGGCGTTAATTCAAATCAGTCTGTTGGGGAATGAACTCGTTTCTAACTATGCTAATAAGGGGAAGAACGTTCTCAGTATTGAAGTGCAAAAGAGAGTCAGTCGGAAACTGCGGGTGCTTCTGACGATCCCTATCAGAGTCCCTCCGCAGCTTCTCCTTTCCGAGGCCGGAAGTTCGGGGAATCTATGAGAAAAGCGAAATGCCTAGAAGGTACGCACAGAGAAAACAAAAGCGGTAAAAGCACATGCATATATCAACCACCGGAGATTACTCAGGGAAGATTAATGCTCCCAGCTGGCACAACGAGGAATAAGCGGCTGTGGAGAATGCAAGGATAAAGCTGCTAAACGGCAAAAGCCGCTGAGGCCAAATTCGTTATCGATTTTACACAGAGTGGGGTGAATATTGCGCTCTTCACCTGAGATTCTGGGGTAAATTATGGGCAGTGCTTGCAGTGGGAGCTTGGGTTCATCGATTGCTTTGCCCTTGTTTAAAATTATTTATTTTTCGCTCAGACGCGTTTGTTCTATTCTTTTATTTATTGTGTTCCAGAGTGTAAAAACGTACGCAAGGTACCAAGCTATCAAAGAGAGAACTCATAGGGATTGCTGGCGAGTCATCCCTTCGACAGCGAACCCAAACAGGGATTTCGCGTCGAATCGAAAGGAAGAGGGGGCCCACAAAGCGCCAAAGCCAGTTGGGTACGCAGTTATGAACTTTTAAGCCAACAAACGTGACCTTTTTTCTGGGAATTGGTGCTAATCGAAGAGCGCGCCGGTCCATGGCAGATGGCCTGTCTTTAAGATAATTGTCTCCCAAGTAATGTCTTGTTCGCTGCATATGAGGGTGTGTCAGGGAGGCAGGGTTTCGCGCGCCGCCAGCCTTTTCTCTACCTGTTGTTGGACGTAGACGCGACAGCGGTGCAAACAGGGCACATCGTTGTTGGGGAATTCCCAACAGGGGAGGTGTATTTGGTCCGCCAGGAGAGGGGGCGCGTATTTGGGCTGGGAAAATTTGTTTTGATAGTTGATTTTTCTCGCTTCACGGACATTGTAAAAGGGGGGGGGGGTCGCATTTACGGTTTGGCTTTGTAGGAGCGGTGGTTGACTTTTTGTGATTTTCCTGTTTCATGCGTGCCATTATACATATCCTCCCCTCCCCTTCCCCGCTCGAATTAGCAAAATCTTAAAGTAGGGAACTTTACTCGGGAACCCTTTTGAAGAAAAAGTGGCAGGAAGTTGGGGAAAATCTGAAAATTGGCAGGAGGGGGAGTCGTATTGTCTCGCGCCTTTTCCTGTTTCACATGTGCTATTTACCCCTCCCCCACCCCCTCCGCGCGTTAACAGCCCGACGGCTCGTGCGATGAGGAGGGGACAGAGGCCGAAGGGAGGGGAAGTCGCTACCGGAACCTTTAAAAAAAGAGGGGGAGTGTACAGACTCGACTAGAAATCCCCAACGCAAGATGTGGCCCATGGGTGGCAGCACGACTAAAATGAACGTAATACGCTATGTTGTTGTCGCTAGCGCGTTAAAAAGCGGGCTGGTGCCGCGCCCAAACCTTTCCTCCCTCGTGAGCACCCGCCGAGACCGTAATCTACAACGAAGAAGACTGTCAGGATGCGTGGCCTTTTTGGTAACCGGTGCTATGGGAAGGTGGCATTCAGGCAAATTCGAAGCAAATGTCGCGCGTGGCTGAAATGCCCTGTGCAACCAGAGTGATAAATTTCGTCGCTCTATTTCATTTTGGACGTAGAAAAAGCTTTGCGACTGCTGATGATACAGCTGTGGGCAGCCTAGTTCATAATTCGCGTGCATTGGTCACTGTTGCGAACTGGTAGCTATTCTGGCCCTATGAGCGAGAACCGCCGCTAAACTTCACGCGCGTCTTGTGGGGGTGGGGGGGGCGAGTAGGAAGAGTTTCGGTGTCGTCGGCCGAGCAGACGAATCGGTGGCATTTTTCCTCGTGCTTGGGGAAATCACCCCACTGCATTTTGTCCATAATGTCTGTAAACCACCGATTAGAAGATGGGAGAATAATTCCTCTCCGGCGGACTAGCATCAACAGGCGGCCATCCTTTCCGCTAAGCACGCCGCAGTAGCGCGAACAAAACTAAGGGAAGCGGCAGCGGTCATCCAACCATCCGAGAGTGTAAAAAAAGATGTGGACTAGGACAGTAGATGGGATCTGTCAAGGAGAGGACTCCTGTGGGTGAACCACTTATCAAACGTGACAAGCTAGACTGTATGAGATCACAGTGGTCATAGAATTATGAAGATGACAGACTGCAGAGAAAAACGGAAAATTTACACGAATACAGGGATAAGTTCATAGTGTCCGTAGACCCTTTGCCTAGACCTCATCAGTCCTAACCACGCGACGCACCCTTGCGTGTATGTGAATAAATAAATAAAAAATGAACAAGTGAGTGAATAAATAGGTTCCGAAATCGCTGCAGCTAGGTGTGGTGGAAGATTCAGAAAATTGTCACGAACTTTGGAACACTCTAATAATAGAAAATTCTCAATATTGAATCTATGATTCAAAGCGGTTTTGCCCGAGAAAACCTACCTTTTGCTTCCTCGAAATTCTCCCACTCGATACTTGTCCTCCTGTGGACGACGGGATGCGGTGGTGCCTGGAAGGAAACGATATTCAGAAAACGAGATTTATTTCTGAGTAAGTTACTGCTATGTAGATAATGTTCGCTTAGGCGGCGTTCATACTGTGCGTCCACCAGCGACCAATAGCGTCCACCAGTGTTCCGAGCGTCCGGCAGCGTCAGCGAGTAGGAGAGTATAAATATTGATCGAGCGCCTGTCAGCGTCAGCGAGCGTCCACCAACGAACAGTAGCACGCTAGACGAGTAGATGCTGTAGACACTGGCAGGAGCTGATCCACACCTATACTTTCCTAGCCGCTGACGCTTCCGGACGCTCGGAACGCTGCTGGACGCTGTTGGTCGCTGGTGGACGCAAGTATGAACTCAGCCCAACGTTGTCGCGACCAAGACGAACTTGAAAGACTAGAAAGCCAACTTGAAACTGAATGCACGTAGAAAAAGGGCAAGGAATGAAAATATGAATGTACTTCTTCAAACACCCCACACCCCACCCAAAAAAAACTCAATGAGTAGAAGGAATTTCGTAAAACTTCATAGGAACGTGTTGGTGTAAACAAGCACTAAAGTGCTATAGTCCCTTATAGCCCAGAAAATAGGGTATCTTTGACACCCCACAAACATAATGGGTTCTGGTGCAACTAGAATATGAGCAAAACTCAAAAATTCTTCAAAATCGACTAACCTTGCTTTTGTATTGCGGATTTTCCTCGAGAATATCGCCCTCGTAGTCGTTCAATGGTGTTGTCCGTCCAGAGAAGCTGCTTCGAGACTGGAAAAAATGAGGTCCACGTCATTTTCAGGCACTATTTACGTGCCGTTTCTCATAGATTATGCATGAGACAAATGCACCCGCTCAGAGATTCAGGGATATGGGAGGATTGTCAGGTGAGAATGGAAAGTGCTTGGGAGAGATGATATGAGAGAAAGAAACCAACGAAAAGGACAGTGGTTTGAGCCCCTTGGGCCAGGGATGGGCGAAGGGGTCGTGTGAGCACAGAATTCTTGCAAGCGTCTAACGAACCTGCACAGGAATCTGGGAGGAAATGTTTTCATAGAAATCCGAATACGGCATATCAGATTTCCGTCGTCGCGATGCTGAAAAACGCCGCTTTCGCACTCAGGAGGTGATGACGACAAGAATGTTCGATGGGCGTTACCTGCTCGTTCCTTTGCAGGGATAGAGACTTTGATTTTCTTCTCCTCTTTCACCTCAACTGTATCTGAAACGAAACTGTTTGAATATTTCCAAACATGCACAGCTATTTGCCTTGGGGGGGGGCACCCTGCAGCCAGACTCAGTTATGACGTCATATTGTGAGGTGGCTAAGCCGTGTCATAGTGCCTAGGTGAGTGGTTGCCAGGGCACGCCCATCCGTTGAGAGAACTTTGCCAATTCAGGACTCCCTCCTGATACCCCTCTCTTCTCCTCTAATTCGACCCCCTCCTTCCCCATCTACCATTCAATCTGCAATCTTCCCAAGCTTTACTCGCTGCTTATTGTCGGCTTTTTCGGAGTTTGTTCCAAAAAAGATGTTTCCCAGGACTTCTGAGGGTCCTTCACCTTCCCCTCAGAAGTCTGCCTTCAAGCGGAAGGGAGGTGTAGGGTGCATGAAACGGGGAAAAGCGAGTGAAGTCAACAGACGGAAACAATCACGATTCCCACCCCCTCCCTCTAGCAGCCAAATGCGACTTCCTTTGCCAGAGATCCCCAACATACAACGTGCCCTGGTGGTTGCAGTGATGGAGTGACATGCTATGACGTTGACTAAGTAAGCCATGTTCGAAAATGTTCCCTGTCTCGGTAAGAGAGGGGCAGACCAGCAGATTTGACACTTTATAGTGGTTCAAGGCGAAGAACGACGACTCATGATAAGAAAAGCTTTCGCTGTAGAGCGCCTCGAACTCAATTCCTTTAATCGCGCCAACTTTCTCATTTTCTGTGCGCTCTCAACCATCACGAAAAGTTTCAGTTGTCATGTAACCAGAGCGCCCCCCTCCTAAGGCACATAGCGCCATGGATCCTAAGCTGTAACAGAGATAGCGCAGAGGCGCTGCACAGCATTCGCACGGCTATAACTACTGAATGGGCTCCTCGGAATGCTGAATGCGAGGACCAATCCTAGGCTGTAATAGGACCAAGGGGTGGAGAATATAGTCCCAGAACGAATCTTCATTTTCCTGGGATGAGTGAAACAACTGGAACGGTCCATCCCGCTGACAGCAGAAATCCCTAAGAAGTGCAGGGAAAGAAAACAAAACTTCCACACATTTGGAAGAGGGAGGTGTGTATCTGCCAGTGGATTGGTCGACAAACAGTCATTTTTCCGTGTTGTGCTCTTTATTAGGTTCTGCTCTGCGTGCTATGGGCTCTTTATGAAGGATCCCGGGTTATACATTTGCGGCACACTTCGGCGACGGGGGGGGCATTTTGCACTCCGAGCCATCTAGAGAGCTCTTTCATGAGCAAGACAAGAGTTGACGGGTTTTACCATGGTGGCTAGACGAGCTTGCTCCAGCGAGTTCACAGGTTTCACCAGGGCGGAACTTGTTAACCGGAACTAGTGAAGCAGTGAAGGTACAAAATGCCCCCGTCGCCGAACAGCGCCAACAGTTGCTGGCACGCGCCATGCATTTGCTTTACAGAATGACAACACGGCTTTCTGAAGCAGCACCGAATTTGGTCGGTAGTGGAGAGGAATTGGTGGAGGGAGAAGGAGGATTTGTACGTCGTAAGTAAGTAGCTAAATGAAAATGCAATTAGGGGCATCTTTAATGAGCATGGGGAGATTCTGAATAGCCCATCACAGGGGATATAATGGCGCCAAAAAGTATGAGGAAAAGCGGTTGAAATTGGGGGCTAGTCACCAACTCCTAGAAGGAAGGGCTGACCTTCGCAATTTATAAGGACCATTGAACACTTTCGGACTGCTTGACAGCGCCATTAGGCACACCACTGCACCCTTGCCCGATTCTAGGCATCATCGCCGGAATACGACCCCTCCCAGTTCATGTTTCCCCGTAACCCATGGCTGCCAACTTATATCTGAGTTTTCCACTAATTCCTGCTAAATATTTCAAAAAAATCTTCTCTGTTTTATTCTCAGCTTTTTTCCAGTTGTTCTGGCAGAGGCTAGAGGTAATATCGATATAGCGCACTCTAAAGCTGGAAAGTCGAGGAAAAGTCAATAGTCAAAACGTCTCCCTCAAACGGCCGAAACGACTCTTCCTCGCTTGAAAGACCAAGTACAATCAGCGAACCAGTGCGTACGACGTGCACTGATGCACTGATGGCGACCGAGGTGGTGTGGTGGCAAGGTGTCTTCTTAACAGATGCGCGGTCCGGAAGTCAATTCCCAGGGCAGCTCCCTCTCTGATCAGCCAGGTCCTCCATCCCTAGGGTCACTAATTGGGTACCGGAGTCTCCTGGGAGGGTATAGTAGGCAGTAGTAGTATCGCATTCAGTAAAGCCCAGAATGAGAGTAGAATCCTCGCTGCTTCCCACAGGAGTTTGGTCAACTGAGCAGGCTTTCTCCTTCATTAGTACTGATCGATTTACCACCACGTACAAGCAGTTATCACCAGATACCGTATTCTATGTAGTGTGCTTATTCTTCTGCTATTTCTTGCTTTGCAGATATTGCAAATTAGAGTGAAATTATGTTCGCGTCGCTTTGTTCACAGGAAGAGCCAGCGCGAAAAAAAGCGCCCACGAGCAAAACAACTAGCGAAGGGAAGCTGTTGTTGGGAAGAACATTAAAATCTCAGCCTTACGACAACGAAAACATGCCTTCGAATGGCGCATTGAATGCGAATCTCTCCAGAGTACACGACTGTGTGGGAGTTGTCGGACGAGGACGTTGAGCGGCCGGATTGCTGTATTCCCTTCGAAGAGCCGCATGTTCAGGATCCTACAAAAGAAGAATATCATTGGCTCATTCCAGAGAAGTCGGGAGCAAGTACGCCATGGAACTGGAAATTCGGAGGACCTTGGAGCGGATTACCTAACTTCCTTATACTCCATTTTTGCCAAGGGGTCCTTCGTGTGGCTGGCTCCTTGGCGGACCTGCTCCGGTTTTCGATGTAACTGCGGCTTTTAGTTTCTACAGCCTCTTCATAAGAAAAGATGGAGTGAGCAATAGTTCCCCTCCATCGCCTCACTCTTTGAAATACAGGCCAGATTTTAGCCAAAGGGTCCTTCATATGGCCAGCTCCTTGGCAGACCTGCTCGGGTCTTCGATGTAACTGCGGCCCTCTATGGTATATTTAACTTGGAGTTGTTTCCCAGGGTAATTCGCCCCTAAACAGGACTATGACAGCCGCCCTAAGTGAAACTGTCTGACGAGCACCATCTACACGAACCCTTTTGGCGACGGCGCCAGTAGTGCGCGTACCAGGCGTTTTCACACGCGCCGCTTTGGTATTCAAGTTTTGGATGTCAAAGTATCCTTGCAAACAAGCTTTCGGATAAATTTGGCGACTCCAGGCGTCTTGTGACGCCTATGGTGCGGGCGCCAGGCGGTTTGGAGCCGGGTGGACGTGGTATTAGTATCAGGGCACGTGCTGCCGCCGGACAAGATGTTCGGAACACGCGATCCCCCAGGTCCTCCTCTTCGGATGCGGCCCCCTTCCCACCTCCCCCGTTTTCCTCATCTGCACAGCCACTTTCTATCTCGCCAGATTTCGCCTCCGAATTATGCCACCGAATAACTATTTCCGAAATTGCCCAGAAATTTTCCTGCTTTTCCCCAAAATTTTGCCGGCGAGCATGGGTATATAGCCCATGTGAAAGGGGAACCGCAAAACCCGCAGAAATCAACAGCCTCAAAAAATCCTTTCAATGCATCACGTATCTCTCAGAGGCAAATACGACCTCTTCTGCCAACAACGAGCAAAAACGACCCCTCCCCCTTAGAAATTCCCCCGAGATGTGGATAGCGCCCGTGAAACAAGAAAAATCAGCCGTAAAAATTTTTTCTCAAACCAAGTACGACCTCCTCCCCCAGCGACCAGATACGACCCCCGCTGGGACTCCAAAACGATCCTCCCGGGATTTCTCAGGTTCCTGTTCACTGGTCCAGACTAATTCCGGTGACCCAGCCCTACCCCGACCTACCCACAGGTGAAAAATCGATCAAAATCTGGCCGGAATTCCAAATAGTGGGCCCGTAAATGGTAAATAGTGCCTGGAATTTTATACAAGACTTCTAAGGAGATAAGAAGAGACAATCGTACCTGAACGTGTCTAGCAAAAGCTGAAGGCGGTGCAGGTTTTTCGAACTGAACTGAAATCGACATTGAGTGAGAATAGCAAAATCGGTATTGTCAAAAGGGGTACGAGCTAGGGCGGGGCGCGGTTGAGAAATCAACAGGGGGGGGTAAAATTGGGGGTTGAAATTGCCAAAGACACCAGCATTGATGTCTCACCGAATAGAGAGGTAAGAACAAAGGCAGTGGGCAGATAGGGTTGCGCAGAGGGAGGGTCAGCCTCCATAGCTATTGAGAAAACCTACAGTAGACGTTTCGTCACTTCGTACGTTCTTTAAGGAATTGCTTTGATCTTCTCCAGTTTTTGAGTTTTTTTCCTCCGGGAAACGAAAAACTGTAGAAAGGGAGTGAGGATGTGGGGGTATTGCGTATATGAGACGGGAAAAACGAGGAATTTCAACCGCTGGAAACCTCTTTATTTCGGGGGCAAGTGCGACTTCTCCCCCTCTCTCTCCACCAACCCAACACGACCCCCCTCGCTGGGGATCCTCAATGCAGATATGTCTCGTCCGTGGTAGCCTTTAATGTGGAGGCATCGTAAAAATCATGCATAAAGGCTACCATTAGCCGCAAACAAAAGAATTGATCAAAAAACGTCACCTGCTGCATCTAAAGCGCCCTCAATCTCGGAGTCTAAATCATCGTCGTCACGCAGCAGGCTCTTGTGCAGCTCGTGTTCCTGAAATTGAACGTTAGAAGCATTCTTTCGCTTTCTGACGTGCGTCATATTGAATAGGTCTTGAGCGAAATTGGCTGTTAAAGAGCAAGGGGCAGGCGGGCCATTTTTCTGTAGCGTAGTGGATAAGCTCAACTCGCGACAAGCATGGACGCTACTGAAACACGATGAATTCGAGTTCCATTGGAGGCGAATCTTTTTGGCCAGGGAGGAGGTGATGGGGCGCGATCATAGAGCCAGTGAGGTATTATTACAGGTCAAGTGCAGGCCATGCCCCACGTTAGGGATCCCCAGCGAGGGGGGGTCGTAGATAAGCGTCAGAGAGGAAAGGTCATAGCGTGTTCGCTTTTGAGAAAAATGTTTTCGCTTGCTGACTTTTCTCGGTTTCTCCTGCTTCCTTCTCATCCCCCCTCCCCCTCGACGGCAGTTTTTCGGGAGACAGAAAAAGAGAAAAAGGAAAAAACTCGGAAAACTGGGAAAAAGGTAGGAATTCGGAGGAACTCAGAGAGGTGGCACGAAGCATGGGGAATTGGGAGGGGAAGGGTACAGCAGAAAAGAAATTTTCAAGAGGGGCGTATTTCGCAAGAATTTTTCCCGAAGGCAAGACGTTCCTCTGTCAACTAACTTGTCTTCCCAACCAGGTATTCGTACGGATTACTGAATTTTCATACTAAACAGCCTTCACAAAGTTTCTAAGCATGACTTTTGCTTGGTACCGCTGCATCTCGGAGCGCCTCGTAATAATCTTTGAGGAAGGCCCGTAGTTTCGAGATTCGGAACAGTTGCCCTACCTGAAAAACGCATCCCAAATCGCACTTGTGAAAAGGCCTTATCTGAAATAGCATACCGTCTTCGAACCTTGCGCATTTGTAGGGTACGCCTAAAGGGCTCCGCTCAAATTATGGGTTGA